GAATACAATGAGGCCATGATCATGGAGTTGGAAGACCTTGAGGAAGCAAGGCTGACAGCATTGGATGTGATGAAGGCCCAAAAGCTTAAAGTGGCACGAGCTTACAACAAAAGGGTTAAGCAAAAGAATCTAGCTGAAGGAAGCTTGGTTTGGAAGGCTGTGCTGCCACTTGGCAAGAAGGATCCTAGATATGGTAAATGGTCTCCTAATTGGGAAGGACCGTTCCAAATTCATAAAGTTCTTAAAGGAGGTGCTTATTGGTTAAAATCTTTGAATGGGGAGTTGCATCCGCGCAAGATCAATGGCATCTACTTGAAACCATATTATCCGACTGTGTGGGAGGCAAGGGATAGTTCTGCCTCCACGTTTGCATGATCCAGGTTTGCAGACATTTGTATATTATTTGATTCAAGATGTTTTTCTTTCAATAAGGACACGTAGAGTTTTGGCTTGAACCATGGAAGCATACATAAGACTTGGTGCTGCCAAGGAAGCATGGCATGTTCTTACATTTGTGTTTTAGAGCGGCTTTGTTTGCAAAGCCGTGGGTAGCATGAATAAAGCAAGTGAATAAATTCATGTTTATCATTAGAAGAAGAAAAATAAAAAGAAGTCTGGAAACAAATGTTCAAGCGGCTTAATGGCCGTGACAAGGAGGAATGATGTTTAAAAAAAAAAAAACCTAACAAAGGTTTTGCATCCAGGCGGCCCACTCATCTCTCATTTGCTGCAGTGTGTTGTTGGCTTCCTTTGCTTTCTCCTCCTGTTGTGCAGCCTCACTCTTTGCAGCCAAAGCTTCACGTCCTTCTTCCTTGAGCTTAACTAGTAATTTGCTTCTTTTGGCTTTAAAGGATTTGAGGCTTCCTCCTTGCTATAACTCTTGGGCAAGAAATTGGCTGGAATGGCATGACAGAGACGATGTGAAAACTAGAAAAACAGAAAGAGAGAAACGGTCACAAATCTGTGATGATGGTTATCGAGGGAGTGGCTGTGTTTTATAATGAATTGGAGTCGATCATGTTTCCAAGTCCTAAGTGGTGAAGAATTGCAATTGCGTCACAAAAGTTGCAGTCGGCCATGTTTTTGATTCCAAAACGGAGAAGAAATGTAAACAGCAAAAGGAGACAAGGGCACAAAGAAGTTGAGTACTGTCACTAAGGTCCTAAATTTTTGACACCTACTCCCGTAAGGCCAAAAATTGGGGGGCAATGTTTACACCTAATTTTACAACAAATGAAGTGCTGCCACGTGTCACCCATGATGGCAAATATTTTATTAGTTGGGAGTTGGTGTGGATTTCTTCAGATGAGATTGAGTGGTTATTTCCACAACGGCAGCAAGACCGTTCTTTTGTTGCGAGCTTCCCGGAGGATAATTGCAGCACCAACAAATTAATCAAT